GTCTACAGCCTATAATTGATTGAAATATCTAAAAGGGGTTCTAGAATTTGCCCAGTGAAATAGCCTTCCTGTGGAGCCTTTGCAGTCTATAGGATCTAAGGTAGAATCCTGAGCCCCATCCAGAACCCTCTGAGGTGGACATTCCGGCTTGAAAGAACAAGCAGATCAGTCAGGAATAGCTAGAGGAACAGAAGATACTTCTTGAAAGAAAGACCAGCAGAAAAAAATCCAGAACAAAAACTGGTAGTCTGATTGGCTACTACAAGAACAAGTAAGTTGTTTGCTGGGGAGCCATCAAGGCAAGCAATCAAGTCACTTCAGGGCAAACCCCCCTCCAAGACTGAAACTCAAAAGGAACACACGAGCAGTCATGTAAGCTTGCTGACAACCACGTTGGTCTCCTAGTGAGTGGAAGAGGGGGAGCGGCAGCAATGAAGAAATGGGTCAACTTTGACCACATTCCATCTCCCATCAACCCGGAGATGAGAGAAGAGGAGAGGATTGGTTGGTCTGAAGTGTGGACTCCTGAGCCCATGGACAAGAACATAGCCACCAAGGGCTAGAGTTGAGAGCGAAGCACCCAGCTGATGTGAAGTGAGGGAAGACACACAAGAACACCCAAACTTGTAGATAGTACACATTTGACTTGGCTTCGATCGCTTGATGATCAGATGATCAGAACTCAACTAGAGGAAGATAAAAGAAAAAAAAAGAAAAAAACCCTTTTTAAAAAAAAAAGGAAACATGTGTAAATTGTTACAATTTGATGAACTTGACCTATACTTATAGATGTGGTGGTGGTTGTGGTGGTGGTGTGCCGTGGAGTCAGTTCCGACTCATGGCGACCCTGTACAGGATTTCCGAGACTATAAATCTTTAGGGGAGCAGAAAGCCTCATCTTTCTCCCATGGATCAGCTTGTAGTTTTAAAATGTTGACCTTAAGATTCACAGCCCATTTGTAACCACTGAGCTACCAAAGCTCCTTATACTTATGGATGTAGTAGCTCAAAATACCAATTGACAGGGAAGGAGTCCTGACATCCAAAATCAATCCTATCCACTCTGCACACAGGGTTGATAGGGATAGACAACTTAGACCTTGGCTACCTAAAATTAGAGGAGCTATAAAGGTATGAAGTGGCTGGCTTACAAGTTTTAAAGAGGGAGTTAGTTTCAAAATGTGGAGGGGGGAAGGTAGAATCCCCACTGAATAGTTTTCATCTTGTCTAGACAGGTCAGGAGAAAGGAGATGGGGGATAAGATTCTTAAGATTCAATACTGAGTAACTGTTATCATGACTAATTGTGACTGTCACAACTGTAGTTGATCTGTATTACAGTGTAGGAACAGAGAACTCTACGACCATCAAGGGAGAAGAGCACAGGAGGAATGTGGTACCCTATCCAGAGAAGCAGCAATACCAAAGATGGAGGCAGAGATGAGAAGAGAGAGGGAGCAGTTGAGGATTCAAGACTCATGGAAAGCAAAAGGCTGTGTGCTGCCAGCCAGGTACTGGTGGCCAGGGGGCAGGCTTGCAGAATGTGCCCTTTGGTTGTTTACACGATTATATATTCCTGAGTGTTTTTGTGTATATTCCCCCCACCCAAAAAAAGAAAAAAAAAGAGGGAATAGAAGTAAATCCTGTTGAATGACGATGCACGGAGGAGACTGTTATCATTGCAATGAAACAATGGTGTAAAGCTGATGTTCCCCCATGTAAACTAATTACTCAATTCACAATAATAACTTTAAAAAAAAATCAACAGTAACTCTCTCTGGGGTTCCTGTTTCCAAAATGACAAAGAAAAGAAGAAACAACGGCCATACCAAAAAGGTCGGCAGCCATGTGCAGCCGATGTGCTGTGTAAACAGTGCCCACTGTGTGCCCTAAAACAAGGCTGTACCATTCACAGCAAGGCGGCCAGGAATGGTCACTCCGATTTACACCTGCAGGTGGGGCCCCGTAACCACCAAAGCCCATGCAAAGATTTGAGTCCTTAAAGGTGAACAAAAGCTAATCTGAAAGAAAATAAAATGGATATGATATGTAAAAATAATAATAATAATAATCTGACCATTGAGTTCTTATATTTCAGACAATTTTTAACAGTGGGAATTCAAAGAATAAAATCACCATGGGAACATACAGATATCAATCAACGACTGGATGAAGAAACACATGGGTCAGTAAGGACAACTGCTCCTAATGGAAGAATTCCAACTAATAAGCAAAGGGAATAAGCAAACAGAAAATCACCATTGGGAAGGCACCAGAGTAAATCATTAGTGTAGGAAAGACCCACTGACAAATGCTAACTTTCATGGACAAAGGCTATAGGATACCTCAAAGTGTATCCCCCAAAATGCTCATTAATCATTCTGGTGATAGAGGTCCACAGAGTCTTCACTACCTGTACTTCTGCCAGAGCTTCATCTCCCTCCCCTGAAATATGGGCTCCTTTCTAATAAAATACAGAAAAGGGGCGCCAGTAACTGTAGATGGGGAAAACTAGCAGACATCATCTTCAGTAAGCGGTGCATGCTAACACCATCAGCAGCAATAAGCCGTACTGTCGGAATCAGTGAGAGGAAAGGGCACAAAGCCAGAGCTCCAGTCTAATCAGAAGAAAACATCAGACCAAGTTAAGCCAAAAGACATTTGACAAAAATCCTTGGCCAGTGCTCTGAAGTACCAACGGCACAAGGAAAGATTAAGGGTCTGTCACAGATTGGAAGAGAATAAGGGAAACACAACTGAAAGTAATGTGATATCCTGAACGGAGCACTGGAGCAATAAAAGGTCATTGTGGGAAACACTGGGACGACTTAATAAAATCTGCAGTTTTCACTTTAATAGCACTGTTATTGCCACCAAGTTTGGTTCCAACCCATAGCAACCCTGTATTGGGCTTCCGAGGAGCAGCTGATGAACTTGAACCACCAACCTTGTGGTTCAAACAGACTTTGCAGGCCAGTGCATTAACCCACAGTGCCACAGGAGAACTCCACTAGCATTGTGTCAGTATTCATTTTCTTAACTTTGATCACTGCACCGTGGTTGCTGTGTAAGATGTTAACATTAGAGAAAACAGGCTGAGGGGGACAAGAAAACTCTTGGCACTATTTTGCAGCTCTTCTTTAAGTAGAAAAATATCTCAAAACTAAGAGGATTTGGTTTGCTTTCTTTTAAAGAGGGAACCCCAGTCCTGAAAAAATTTCAAAACCTGAAAAAGAAACAGTGATCTCATTCGTCTAAGTTAAAATGTCTCTCCAAGGTGCCAAGCTCGGGCTGACTTCAGAGTCCTCCACATAATACCCACTGGACGGGCTAAGTCACACCCAGAACGTCCTGCAGAGTAGGCACTGAGGCCAAGAACTTTGTACTCAGGTGACGTATCACTCACATTAAGGCACCAGAGAGATGTTCTAGTATAGTTTGCAGTCCAGTGCTTACTCCACAATAACTTTCCTTAAGGCATTATGAATTAAGGGCAGTCAATTAAGGAGGAATAGGGTGGCCATGGGAACATGGTAGCTCCATAGGATAAGCACAGGACATGAACCACAAGGTCAGGAGCTCGAGCCCACCAGCTGCTCCACAGGAGAAAGGTAAGACTTTCTGCTCTCACAAAGATTCATAGTCTCGGAAATCCTATACAGGGTCGCTGTGAGCTGGAAATGACTCAATGGCACTTAATAACAACAACAAAAGGGTGGCTATAGGGTGGTACTACAAATGATAAGCACTGGACTGTTATCTGCCAGGTAAGCAGCTGAAACCCACCAGTCATTCTCGGGAACTAACTCAACAACACACAACAACAAGGTGGCTGTGAGTCTAAAGTGGTTAAGAGTGTAGAGTTCAAAGTACTCAACAGTTTGAATTTTGGTAATAACAAAACTAATTAACAAGTATTTTTGCTTCTTTTAAAGAGATGAATGGCATACTGAACTACATGAATAAATGAGTGGCGGGGTTTTATACTCTTATGAGCAAAACCTGGAGGGGGAGGTGGCAAACGTGCCAAATCCCTTATTTTCCTTAAGAGGAATTCTGATACCTTGATTTAAACTTAATCATGTTTTATAAAAAGATAAAATATAACCACTGTTGTTTGTTGTTAACTGCCATCAAGTTAAGTTCTAACTCACAGTGACCCTGTACAGGTTTTCCAAGGAGCAGCTAGTGGGTTTGAACTGTCAACCTTGTGGTCAGACCCACACTAAGACCCCAAAACCACTACTAGAGATAAATCCAAATTCGCTAGAGACACAAAAAACAAAACAAAGAAATCACGAGAAAACATACAGGAAAATGACAGAAACAGCAGAATCAATCACAACATTCTTTCTTTTATAAGGACACAGTAAGGCTGGGAGTAGTGTACCAAAATATGAGATATTAGGATGACGGAGTTTCGGAAACCCTATGTAAGGTCGCTATGAGTCAGAACCGACTTGACGCACTTAACAACATTACTTTGGCTTTTGGTACTTTCTAAATTTTCTACCACAAAAAGTTGTTGTTGTCAAGTGCATCCGTCAGTTCTGACTCATAGGGAGCCTGTATAGGATTTGTTATTGTTGCTAAATGCCGTAGAGTCAGTTCCGACTCACAGCGACACTACACAGGGTTTCCGAGGAGCGGTTGGTGAGCTTGAACTGCTGACTTTGCAGTTCAATCTGACTTTGCAGTCTAGCACATTAACCCGCAGCACCACACCAGGACTCCACGGCTTCAAATCTCTGCAGGAGCAGAAAGCCTGGTCTTTCCCCAGCAGAGCGGCTGACGGACTTGAACTCCAGATATTGTGGTTCACAGCCCAGTGCTTATCTTACGGGGCCACCGTTCTCCCACCGTACAAAGCACTACTTCCACAAACAGAACAGAAACAGTGATTGAGAAGCATCGAGCTTGACCTTGGGGCCTTAGTCCTCGGCAGAATCACCTTCCCCCCAGTGCCCGTGGTGTGGGGCCCTCCAGCAAGCTCAGGCTTACTTCATAGGTGATAGTATTCAGGTTCTGTTGCCCAGCGCTATGTTTATTCTTCCCAGTTTCTTTCCGCTGCTCCTTAAGATCAGTCAGTAGCTGGAACACCTAGAAGACAAATGCACAGCGTTTTTAGAAGTAAATTCGAGAACTGCACCTCTCCAAGGTCAAGAGTTTTGAAGGATAAATAGGAGAGCAGAGCGCCTGCTTTCCTCCCACACACCTTCCCTCCAATTCCAGTCCAGGCAGAGCAAGGAGGAGGCAGAGAAATAGCTGACATTTTTAAGACAGTCTTTGTTCTCAGGCAAATCGGTCAAATGCAATGGTTCATATCAAATAGTATTAATGTTTCTATTGATAATGCTGATGCTTCCAAAACTTTGTGGGAAAATTGTATTAGCTTTCAATTATGTTTTTCCATGACTCTGTGAAGACCCTGCATATAGAACATACCCGTCACCTCTTCTGAGCTCAAAAATACCCTGAATATTTAAAAATAAAGTTTCTTATATAATTTTTAAAGATTCTGAATCTTCAGTAAGGACATTAGTGAAAATTTGGTAAGATAATAATTTGGTATAATATGTAAAAACATATATAATAAATTTTGGTATAAGTAAAGGAAAATGATGAGGTAAACATGATTTATGAAAAGAAAACAAAAAAGCAAACAACTACTATGGAACTTCAGAATCAAACTTTCCCACAGGACCAAACACAGGTGTCCTGGTGCTAACGGGAAGGGGGCGGGGGTGGGGTGGGGTGGGGTGGGCGGGGGGAGACGACCTCTCTCCTGTGTTAGAGGTGATACCAGAGAATTAAGGGAAATCAAGCTTGTCCCCACCTGCCCTTCCTGTCAGGAATAGTGACATGAAACCCAGTGAATATATTTCCTCCAAATCCAACTGGACAAGGAGGCTGCCTCCCACCAGCTAAAAGCCTGTCTCTAGGATTTAGGGAAGCCTGCCTCCTGGAAATGAAAGTGTTCTCAGCTTCCCTGAGGTTGTGTGTGTAATTTATAACCTCAGAATATTCCCAGGTCACCACAGAGAGTCATCTGTCTGCGCTGAAGTGGAAAACCCAGCTGAGCTCGGTCAGTTCTAACCCAAACCCACACACCAATCGTCAGAAGGCAAACTCTCAGAGTGGAGGATCCAGCAACGGTCCACATCAAAGCTCCTTACCTTATAGTTGCTCAGCCCACATCAAAGCTCCTTACCTCGTAGTTGCTCAGCAGGGCAGAGTTGGCATCCTTCCTGCAAAAGAAAAGGAGTTAATCGTGTGGGCTGGCATCCCTCTGTGGGTATGAAGCAGCTCGAAGAGAATGCCTCTCTCAAGTCCAGTCAGGAGTCTGGGGACTAAAACCTCACACTGAGGCATTGCCTAAGTCCCCTAGGATTCTGCTGGCTGGGAACAATTTCAGGACAGAACTTTCTTTTTAGTCATGGCTTCTCACAAGGCCATCACTGTTCTTACCCTGGGTCTAGGTAGGCAGAAGTTAAGAGAAGTCAGACACGAGGGTGGAAGGTGGGTACAGAACCAACACAGGTGAAGTCACGATGTGGGGTGAGGGAGAGCTGGTACCCAAAGGGAGGGTGTTAGAAGTAAACTGGAGAAATAAAGTATTCTCCTATCCCGTACCCATGTCCGCTCCTCAGGGCCACCTTGAGCAGCTAAGTCCTGTCATTGCATCTACAGAGAAGCTTCCTAAAGCTCTGGTATGGCCACCAGGATACAAGCCACAAACTCTAGACGAGTACATTTTCTCTCAACAGGCAGAGCTTGGGTGTCCAGCAGGTGGCCAGCAGGCTGATCCTCTGGGGTGACAGCACAGCAACTGCTCCAATCACTACTACCACATCAGACTCCCCAATGTTGTGACATTCTGGGGCAGCAGAGCGCGGCCATGAAGAATGCAGTTTTGAAATCAAGACAGATTCCGAATTCAGTCTAGCTATGGCATGTTTTTCTAATGAGAATAAACCAGCACCTAGAAGAGTGGCACCGAGTCATGGTGTGGCGATATATGGTAATCACTGTGTGACGCTGCAGGTTAATGCACTAGATGCAAGGTCGGCGGTTCAAGCTCACCAGCTGCTCCTCGGAAACCCTATATAGGGTCGCTATAAGTCGGAACCGCTCGATGGCACTTAACAACTAACGGACAGGTCAGTGGTTCAAACCCCACGAGTCACTTCTCGAAAACCCTACCAGGGTTATTATGAGTCAGAACCGAGTAGATGACACTTAACAGCAACAACAGAAGAGGCGCACAGTAGGTTTAAGAGTTGGGCTCTGGAGCTACACTGTCTGGATTCTAGACTCAGCCCCACCACCATTATTAGTTAGGTGAACTTGGGCAAGCTACTGCATCTCTCTACAGTGCAATTTCCTCACCTATGAAATGAGAACTGTAGTTAACAACCGTTAGGATTGCTTCAAGGTTAATTTAAAACGTGTAAAGTACCTGGGACTCGGAATGCTCTGAAAACTCCCTCTATTGTTACCACTACCACCCCTGTGCTCGTGTGTCTCCACCACAGCCTCCTCTGAAGGCTGGTCGGAGGCTAAAACGAGACAACAAACGTAAAATGTGCACCCTTGTTCTGGATAAACTGAAGTTACTGCTTTCTAAAGACATTTTCTCACTGATTTTCATTAAAACCCTGTTAGGTAAGAGCTATGGTTACAATTCCTACTTTTCAGATACTAAAACTGAAGCTCAGAGGTCAAGACTGTGCTCAAAGTCACACACACAGTAAGAGGCCTAAAGGAAGTAGAAGGTGACTACTGAGCTGTAAAGACAGGCCAGGACTGGACGCATGGAAACAGGTGACACGGAATCCGGAAGTCAAGCAGAGCAGTCGAGATGTATCTGAGTTACAGTGAAGGTCTCCATGGTTAAACCTTAGCATTAGTAGTAAGTGCAGCAGACAGCGTGGTCGTACAAAATTTGCTGACGTTCTCACACGTTCACCTACAGACATTCAAAATTAGGATTTACCGGTCAAAAGCGTGCTTCAAAGCAGGCTATGGAAATTAAAAGCAAAACTAAAAATAAAATGACAGTCCAAACCGACTTACGGTGGATCGATTCTTCAGAGCAAAACCGTCATAAATCAGGGACTACCTGTACTGTATTTTCCTTAAACCAAGTTTCTGTGATGAAAATGATGACACACATTTTCCAACAAATGGGTCAAACAGAGAGTGACGTTCCCAGTCAATAAATAAAGCAAAGCTATCAGGTGGCTAACACAGGTATGTACTGAGGCCTGAGGTTAGCAGCAGTGATGTCAGCACCAGGATCAGGCCAGCACTAAGCATTTACCAAATGCTACAGGTGATTCAGCAAACTCTAGAATTTCACCAAATGGCCACAACTGCACTCAGGTCACAAGGAATGTAATGAGACTGAAACAGAAGTGAACACAGGAAGGACAGTGCATAATTAGTGTACGGCCATGGCTCACAGATAACCGAACAGGACAAACCAAACCACATGTCATCTTGGCCTATTAAAGCAGGAAGTCAGCTGCCTCCTCTCTTGGCTTGAAATCGAATTACAATTCCCAATGCTCCCTAAAATACAAAACTGCATTCCTTCCTGGAAGAGACTGGGAAAAAAATACAAATGTAATGTTTCCTCAGGGCTAATGGAGCCATGCGAAGAGTCACTACTGAACATGCATTTCCAAATCACCTTGCTCCTCTGGCCAGCAGAATACCCCAGGCACTAGGCAAGTCACTGTCCCACTGCCCAAGTCAACCTTGTTACTGCAAAATTCAAACAACTTGCTTCATCTTTTCTTGAACCAAGGTACAAAGAAGGAGGGGATGTGCTCGTATAATGATTCCAACAAGTCTGTATTTGGGGACTCGGAGAACAAAGGATGTTTAAGCAGGTACTGCATCCTACAGAGAGAGTCCTGGTGTGGCGCTGTGGGCTAATGTATCAGACTGGAAAGTCATTTGAACTGTAGTGTCAGTGGTTCAAGCTCACCAGCTGCTCCATGGAAACGCTATACAGGGTCGCTACGGGTCAGAATCGACTCAACGGCACTTAACAACAGCAACAACATCCTGCAGAAGCCATCTGAACTGCAGGTCGGTGGTTCAAACTCACTAGCTGCTCCTCGGAAACGGATTCGATGGCACTTAACAACAACATCCTGCAGGCTCTGGCTGGCAGAAGCTGATGCAGTCATTGTGTTTCTTTTAGTAGTAGGAAGGTAAGTAAAACTTTTAAACTCAGTCAAAAGTGTGTGTCAGGCATGTAGCCCTTCACCTCACTCATTTAATCTGTAAACTGAGCAAATAAGCCGAGAAGCTGGACTGTATGAAGAAGAACACAGCTGATGCATAGAGGAAGAATCCTTAGCAACCTGCAATATGCAGATGACAAAAAGAGGCTGAAAGTCAATAGGACCAGAAGCACTCAGTTCACCATAAAGAAAAAAAGTCCTCACAATTGCACCAACAAACAACATCATGATACAATAAATGGATAAAAACTTTGAAGTTGTCAAGATTACATTTTATTTGGATCCCTCATCAAAGCCCACAGAAGCAGCAGTGAAGAAATCAAATGCCATACTGCATTGGGCAAATCTGCTACAAAAGACCTCTTTTTAAAAAAAAAAAAAAAAGTTAAAATGTCACTTTTGAGGACCAAAGTGCACCTGACCCAAGCCATGGTATTTTCAATCACCTCATATGTATGGGAAAGCTGGACAATGAATATGTTAGCCCAAACAAGAATGGATGCCTTGGAATTATGATGTTAGCAAAGAATACGGAATATACCGTAGACTGCCAGAAAAACAGACAAATTGGTCTTGGAAGAAGTACAGAACGTTTCTTGGGAGTCCAGAATGAGGGGTCTCATTTAGGTGGACATGGTACCAGGAGAGACTAGGCCCTGGAGAAGGAATTGTGTTTGGTAGAGGGTCAGTGAAAAAGAGGAAGACACTCAGTGAGGTGGACTAACACAACGGCCACAACGTTCAAACAGAGCGTGACTGTGAGGAAGACACAGGACCAGACAGCCTGATGCACACAGGGTTACTATGAGAGCACGGAGCAACAAGTACTTACTGAATAAATGCCAATACATGATAGGCCTTCCTTTACTCAATGAAACATCAATGAGTCAGTACCTACTTTTCAAAGGCAGTTTTTATCCTCAGTGACTGTAACCACCACTGACTGACGGGTCGCTGAGGAATGGGGCATGAAGAGATCTGACACACATCAATTCATTCACATTATCAAAGTTCATTTTGTCATCACATGCCTCCTGCCCTGCCCCAAAATGTTTCATTCAAATCTTGTCATGAGGACATAATCAGCAAAATCCAAAATCCTTTTCGAAACAACCATCTTGGTTTCTTCTAAAGTTTCACAGCCATTTGTCACAATACAATGTCACAAAAAATGCTAGAAAGCTGTTCAAGAGTCAAGGAGATTCAAGAAACATGACAAATGAATGGAAATTATCACGGCCTTGACTGGGGAAAAGAAAGAAACCCAGCTACAAGGGCATCACTGGGCTACCCGGAGAACACTGAATATTGACTACATGCTAATACTGGTGCGTGTATCAGCGCTGCATTTCCGGGGTGAGATGATGAGAGTTCAGCGACATCGGAGTGGAGTGACCAGAGGTGGTCAACAAGTAACACTTAGAGGGCTCAGTACAACACATGCACACACTCGTGTGCACACATGAGAGACAGGGAGTGTGCATGGCCTCACAGAAGCACACCAGAGAGAGAGAAGGCAAACATGAAATAGCTTCAAACAATTCATGGAAAAATTCCATCATCTTTCAAGCCCATTTTTCCATGAATTTTATGAAGCAAACTGTATCTCAAAATGTTAAGAAATGGTTTTGGTTTTGTTTGTTAAATGCCACCAAATTCTGACAAACAGCGACCCTTTACAGGGTTTCCGAGGAGTGGATGGGGGTGGGGACTGGGGTGTTTGAAAAACTGACCTTCTAGTTAGTAGTCCAATGCTTATCCTACAACGCCACACCACGGCTCCTTAACAACAAATGGTGAAGCTCAGTAAATGCAGGTATTTGTGTGATTTTTGTAACTACTCTATAGATTTAGAACATTTCCAGCTAAATAGTTTAGGAAAATATAAATGTAAAACTTCAACAAAGAATTCCACCAGGCTAAAAACACAGACATTATTATGACTTATAATCTGAGGACATGAAATGTATTTTCTCCAGCATTTTCTAGAG